TTACGTCCCCCATTTTCTTCTTATGATAAGGACTCCTCCACTACATTGTGCATGGTCACACATTTTTTTCAGTTCCATTTAGCAATGGACAAGAAGATCGGACAAACAAATACGCCACCCTCTAAATGAGACGTGGAATAAATATCTAAAGAGAAGGGTCAGCCGGAACAAGAGGCCGGATGATATAAGAACGTATAGTAGACTACAACCGACACAGGAGAAAGTTACATATTACACTGAACATTGCTAAGCGATTAAGAAAACTTAGGGAGAATTAGATATGAGCCGAATTTAATAGATCACCACCGCAGCTACTCTCTCAAAAACCAACCACATTTTCTTTTATGAACAATATTATAAGTTTTTAAAAATAGCCGTCTCAAAAACAAATGCTCGACACTTTATCAATTACTGTTGCAGAGGCTATGGATTTCACAATTACATATATGTCAAAAGGGGATGAAGCTGATGTTACCAAAGCTGAGCTTGATCGCCCGAGAATTAATCCTTTAGATGAAGTGGGACCGCGCCAGCAGCAGAAGAACGGGCACCGGATATTAGATGAATTGAGGAAAGCCATTTTTTGTAAGAGCAGTGGTACGGTCCAAGATATGATTTTATCTGTTTTTACAAATAAGTCTCAATAATTACAGGTTTTCTCTTAACTAGAAGGCACAAATACCCGCTGCACCACTTAAGAACACCATTTTCGGATTTCCACGGTAAAATACAACAGGAAATAATAGTAAGATTAATGATAACATTTTGCAAATAAATAGCCTTATCACAGGGAATATAAATTTAAAAATAATAAAGTATTCACCTTGAAAACTTGCATTTGCAAGCTGGTTTAATCTTTATTTAACATAGTAAATCTAAAATAAACACGGTCATGAGAAGCGATCGACGTGTAATTAACGTTAATGCAAAAATCGTCACAAGAGGGCGCACTGATAACTAGCGCCCTCTTTTGAAATTAAGCTCCAATATTTGACAATTTCGGTGGGTTACATTTTTAGATAATTGCCAGCCTAGTTTTCTGTACCCAGATATGGTATTTAAACATGCTTGATGTATTTCATAGGACATTTGACTGTTTAAAGTCCTGGAATATACCGATGTCTGGGTCACATATGGTTTTAAACCACTGTGTTGTGTGGTATTAAAATCTAGCGTGAAAGCCTAAAGCTTAGAGAAATATGCCAATTGTTGGTTTAACAATAACAGGTAAGGGAGTCCCTGAAGTGGACTAATATGTTGGAAGGGAGATTACTGGAAGTTTTACTAAATAACATATAGTTGGTTTTCTTAATGTTAAGTGACAACTTATTAACTGCAAACCAATTACAGATAGAGTTTAACTCATAATTAACTGTGTTAGTGAGAGTAGTCAAATTGCTATTCGAGATAAATAAATTGGAGTCATCAGCAAATAAAATAAATGAAAATACATCAGATGATTTAACAAAGTGTAACCGGGGAGAGTGAAATAAATAAGTTAAAATCCTGTCGACTACGCCAAGTGTAACCTGGGAGAGCGATATTTTAATTTAAATGGCTCACTCTCCTCCCAACCGAGTGGTTCCACTAATTTAAAATAATTTGGGTGAAGCGAAGTTTTCTGTTTGTCTCAACAATATCAAAATATTTTATTTACAACACAAAATGAGACAATATATATATACATATTATCAGGTATTTACAATTGAATGATAGTATATAAGAACTTTGGGTATATAGAACTTTGATATAAAAAGAACTTTGTTTGGTATATAAGAACGACAGTCAAAAGGGAAAGTATATAAGCTGAACTGTCACTCCAAGGATCTGAAATGCATAAAAACAATAAATCACTAATGAATTATGGGAACACTTTCAGATCAAAGTACATTGTTGAAGACAATAAATTCAAATTAATTTGGGGAAACACTGTTTTCCTTATTTTTAAATCAAATAATACTTTTTTTTATAAATACATTAGTCAGTGAACAAAATGTTGCATAAAAATGACTGTTGCATAAAAAGATTCGGGCATAAACAGCTTCAGGCATAAAAGAGTTAAATAACACACCTGGGATTTACTCACCACTTGGGATGATCTGCGTTCATGCCTTCCTCTCCGTGCTCAATGTTAAAATCGAAGATCGGCAGCAAAATAGACGAAAATAGTGCAGAAAACTGCAGTGCCGGCAACGCCGAATATAACATTATTTTGCTGCTACGACGGGGAGCCGCACCCACAATTTGCAGTAAAAGTGGAGAGTGTAATGCTCGTTATAAATGCTGGTCGCAAAGCAGGAGCAACCAGGCAGATAGATGTCAACCCAAAGCAGAGTTGGAACGGAATCAACAATATTTTGGACCTAGCCCTACAAGAAAACTATACGAAACACCCGGAATGCCAGCTTTCTAATTTGAACAAAGCGCGTGGAATGTTAAACTCGCCTGGTCGCTACGCCCATTTCATAGTTGAAAAAGTAGCGGGCAAAATTCTAGGAGGCGCGCGCTGTGCTAAAAAAAGTTTAGTTCGCCGCAAGAGGACGCTAGGCAAAAAGATGATCGATCATAACGTAACGCTCATGGCTGACAAAGTGACATACAAGTAATTTACTTGTATGTCACTGTAAGTTGTAAGTTATGACATGTGATGCATGATGGAGTAGGGAACCTGTCGGGTAAAAGTGTTAACGACAACCCGACCTGGTTACAAAAGTCATTAATATAGATCAGAAAAAGCAATGGGCCCAAAATTGACCCCTGTGGAACACCACATTTTAGGGCCTTACAAGTTGAATTTGAACCGCCTATAGAAACATACTGTTGTCTGTCTGAAAGGAAACTTCTGAACCACTCTAACGCTACTCCTCCATAACACCATAATAAGAAAGCTTATATAGCAAAATGTCATGATCAATGGTATCAAAAGCTTTTGAAAGATCGAGGAATATCCCCAGAGTGTGTTCAGAGTTATCTACAGCAGTTGTTACTTTATCAACAAAATCAAGTATTGCATGTGTAGTTGAATGATTACTTCTAAATCCGTATTGACAGTCGGTTAAAATATTACATTTAGTAAGAAATTGAATAATACGGACATAAACACATTTTTAAAAAGTCTTTGAAAACAGGTCAAAATAGAAATGGGTCTATAATTGATATATATAATGGGTCTACTAATGGCAGTTATAGTGCTTTTAATAATAGAAGAATTTATAAGGTCGTGACCAGAGCTTGTTTTGTTCTGTAAGTTGTTGACGATATCAATCACTTCCTGTTCAACTACTGGTTGTAAAAACAAAGACCTTGGGTTCGGATCATTAAGAAAATCAACAAATGAATCATGTGAACTTGGAATAGTTTTAGCGAAATTAGGGCCTAAATTAACAAAATAATCATTAAAGCAATTTGCAATATGAGTAAAATCATTGATTAACTTGCCTTCGTACATGATACTACTAATATGTTGAGAGGATAACTTATTATTAAGGACTGAATTTATGACCTTCCACGTGTTATGAATATTGTTCTTTTCCTTCTCAAACTGACAAACATAATATTGCTTTTTAGAATTTCGTAAGAGACTAGTAAAAATATTGTTATATTTAATATATTTAAGTTTTCGCATGTTTGTCGGATTAACAATGTAATGACATATAATTTATTTTTCTTATTAATTGATTTAGCCTTTTAACCTTTAGTTTTCAAAATCTAAGCTTTGGAAAAATAAACCCCTACTATGGTGGTACATGTTTTCACACATCAGCAGCGCCCTCTTTTGACCAATAGTGAACTGCCATTTCTCACATCCTGCGCCCACACGCGGAGTCTTCACAAAACTTCAGCAGCGGGTGGCTTTTCCCTTCTATTCCTTGGGAAAATAATAGCCACTTATCACTCTTCAACATTCAAACACGATGTAACCATGGGTCGTTTGACATTCGGGAATTAAAAATGGCCCGAATAGCGTTTAATATAACCGGTAGGCTTTTTGTTATTCTGTTTTTTTTTTGTTTGGTACATTTTGAACATAAAAACCGGAAGCCAAGGATGATGTTCGGTATAGCGGTTTTCGGTATAGCGGTGTTCCACTGTATATCTGAAGACAGCATTACCTAGTTGTCACACATTCACTTTTACGTGAACGTTTTACGTGTTTCATGAACAGTTTTCAGCCAATGAAATTTCACAATTGATTACGATCATAACACTTCTTGTACCTTACGTACAACACCTTGATCGTTCTCAATTTCAATATCCACATTTGTTACTTGTAAAGTTAAACTGCGAAGATGGCAAAAAGCTTTAATGGGTAAATCTTGATAAGTGTCAGCACTTGGTACTTTTACTTTGAATTTGACTTTTACCGAGACTGTGGTTAAATTGATTGAGCTGGGAAGATACTGTTCACAAATTTGTGATCCCATCCTTGTTTGTCATTAAGTATGACAAATTGAATGCTGCTCTCTACTACCAGTGATGATATAACACCCAAGTAAATCCTTGTCATTTGATTGGATGATTTGTAGGTCACGCGGCATTCATTAATTGAACCATTGCACGGCCTACATCATAACCTAAAAAATCACGTGGAGCATAAGGGAGGTGTTCCTATGCAGTGTGACCTTCATGCTATGTCCCAAATGTACTACATTATTGGTTTACCGACTCACACTGTTTGCATGTGACTTTCCATCTCGGGAAAATTGGCCTGGTCAATTTTAATACTGGGAAGAGTTTAGCCGGTAAAGTAACCACTGAACTTAACTTGCTTATTTTGCTCATATGACCTTGAGTTTTACACTGCACGAAAGTGTAAAGTTCAAGAAACAAAGTTTATGCACAACACTCTCGATTTCAATCATTCCTTGAAAGTTAAAATCTAGGTTGAAAAAGTGACTTGTCGACTTGTGGTCCATTGGGATAGCTTAGTCAATAAACAATGTGGTACTCAAACGGTTAACCTGATTCATTTATGATAAAGAAAAATAACAAAAACTTACTTTTCTCCAAAAGCATTTGATGCACCAACAAGTACCTGTCAAGTGAGACATTTAAAACTTGAGGTTAATCTATTTACATGTAAAATGTACAGGACAGTTGAAATGTACTTTATGGATGTGTGCATATCTTGAATTTGTTTTAGAAGATCCCTAATGCGGTTGTCACATGCTAAACGTATTAATAGCATCATTCATTGGTGGAAAGTTCTGACATGTAGCAATGGTATGGAGACAGCATGCAGGAAGTTAGTCATTCTTGATTTAACCTCTGATGGAAAAAAAAAGGCAACATTTTCAGAAGAATCTACAGCCGTTCTGCTGTCTTCAATGATGTTTTTTTCCCCCAATCATTTTTTATACCATTGTCAGTGCCTGTATTGGTGGAATCCAAAGTTAGGTTTTAAAACCCTTTTCTCCATCAAGATTGTTCAGTAACACAGTTACTTTTTAGATTACCTTTTTAGCGTGATGACCGGCCTCTCACATTCTAGCCTATTTTACATGGCATGGCATAGGGAATTATCATAATAATAATAATAAACAAGTCAGGTGTGTTTACAAACACAAATGCCCCGCAACTGTGACTGTTCCCATGACATAACGCCACTCTAACATCAACTTATGTACCTTGGTCACATGGAACGTTCATTGACAGCATTAGTGTCTTCTGTAGGTTTTATATGAATTAATCCCTAATCCCTATGACCTCAGAATAAATACAAGATTTTTATTGTTTTAGCCACTGTGACCTTGACCCTTGACCTTTCGACCCCCAATGCGAAAGGCCTATTTGGATTACCAAGAACGATCCACAAACCAAATATGAAGTTCACATGTAAAGTATTTCTCAAGTTATCGCGCTGACAAAATTTCGTTTGTTTTAACCACTGTGACCTTGACCCTTGACCTTTTGGCCCCAAATGCAATAGGCTGACAAAATTTCTTTTGTTTTAGTCACTGTGACCTTGACCCTTGACCTTTCGGCCCCAAATGCAAAAGGGTTCTTAGGATTATTAAGAACAATACACAAACCAAATTTGAAGTTCATATGTTAAGTATTTCTCAAGTTATCGCGCCGACAAGATTTGTCCGGACACACACACACACCCACGCACCCACCCACCCACACACACACCCATACACCCACCCACCCACCCACGGAAGGACAAGGCGGAAACAGTATGCCCCTTCGGCTTCGCCGTGGGGCATAAAAACATAATAATACTTTGGGAGGCTGATTATCCTTACTCCGAGCAGAGAAGCTGAATTGCAAATGCAAAGGATGCGGCTACCACATGGTCGAGCCGCAGGCATGTAAAGGCACCTTTGGCAGCCAGCCATACGACCCATATATGATCACAGAGTACAGTCGGAGATCAAAACTGTTTGATTTTTTTTCAGAGGGAGGAAACAAGAGAAAAAACCCTTGTGCCACAGGAGAGAACCAACGCACAACTCTACTTACGAATGGTCCTAGCCGGGAACAAACCAGGGCCACAGTGGTGAGAGGCGAATGCTTTACGCACTAGCCACCCATGCCCACAATCGCAAATAAAAACACTGCTTCAATTAGCAGGCAAGCATAGCGTATATGTAATGCTTTGTGATATACATGTAATGTGCGTAGAGGGGGGAGGGGGTTTGGAACCACTGCGTACGCCATACTACAGGGGATGGGGGGGGGGGTCTAAAACGTTGGCATTTCGTGCGTACATACTTTATGGACGGCCCCAAAGTCTTCTGAACTGAGGTGTCACAAGAAACAATGATCTTCAAGGGGAAACTCCTCAGTGAATGGACAGCTGATGCTGCCAGGGGCCAAATGAGGCTGAATCATTACTGATATTATAGACACTGTCATCATCAGGATTCAGGATAGGGACTGAAGTCTGAGAGTTTATTGGTTAATCAAGTGCCTTAGACAACAACTGCGCGTCAAGTATTTTTGGATGCATTTAAGCACTTTTTATTTTTAAATTTCAATCAGCAACTAATCAAAAAGTTGTCTTGAATCACAGAATGGTTATGTCACAATATATGCAACCTGGTACCAGCAATTTCCGGTCAGGTAGTGGGTATCTGGGAAAATACCTTGTACTGTACTGCTAGAGGGAGTTTTAGGAATGTAAGGCCAAAACCAACAAAATTGTGTTGCCCTCATCTGACCGACCCAAAAATATGGATTTATTATTTTTTTCATTAGAATTTTTTTTTTTTTTTTTAACCTTGACAGTTACTGTTTCTTTGCCATTCCATAATTTTGCATTTCGTTACAAAACATACATACTTGAATGGTAGCACAGTTCAAATTTACCATTTGGGGCATGTGGTGAGATGTACTGCATACATTGTATACATACATACACTGTACTCAGTATAGTTGGCATGTGCAGTACATGTAGCCTTAACGTGTCGTGTACATTGGTAGAGAGGAACTGGTAACCGAATAGAATAGAAGGGTAGGCCTATATGTGAACTATGAATACCCTCCCCCCCCCAAAAAAACAACAATCCCCAACTGACCGACCCTCCTGATATTTTTCAAATGAGGGCAACGCAACAACTGGGTTTTTTTGGTGTAATGTCCAGCAACAGGCTCCCTTCTTCTTTGTGCATTGCTTATCAAGCAAAGAGTTTGAGCAAAGAGAAACTGCATGCTGGTGTGAGAAGTACATTGTACCGTACGTATGTGCGGTACGGTTCAATGTGTTCTGTGAAGTGATAGATACGTTACTTTTATAACTGTCATAATATAAAACTCACTTTATAATGAGCTTCTATGAAATTCACAATGACTTTGACCAATTAACACATTTCTTGACATGTTTACAGCAGCAATCATAAATTACAATGCATCATCCCAAATGTTGATGTATCATTGTTTTGGGATAAAATCAACCCATTTCCCCTAACAGGTTGCCAAACAGTGACTTTATAATCACATTCAGTTCCCCTTAACACTGAATTACTTACAATGGACAGTATAGCAAGAGCAAATGACTTGGAAAACGCTAATCCAGATATTCCTGTGGTGCAAAAAAAAAAAAAAAAAAAAAAAAAATAAAGAGGATACTCAATATCAGTTTGAATTGTCTTGTTGCAGAATGTTCAGAGACAGGAATACAATATTGGTCTTGCATGCAATTCAGTCTTGAATGACTATTATTTGTTCTCGCACACATTTTTGGTCTAATATTTTGATCTGATCTTATCCATACAAGCATCATTGCATTCTTGGTACACATGTGCATGTATGGTGTATGCAAGAATACATGTTCCTCATTATACATGTACATACATTCAGTATGTCATAACAAGAGAACAATGATGGACATGACATTATTGTTACAAAATGGCGATTGTTAGTAAAAACTGATGTGAAGTTTCAACCCGATCAGATTAATCATTCTTGAGATTTAGTGATTAGGGCAATTCTTCGGAAATTGAAACCAACTTAATTTTGGGGGAAAAGAGATTTTTTTTAATGTGATGTACACATATAATACAAATGATTACTGTTCACCAAAGTGTTGCTAGCACATGTAAGTAAAGATGCAAATTTCTTAAGATGTTTCATACGTTGGCCTTTCTGTGCATAAATTTGCATAATTTAAATTACAAAATGTCACACAAACGAATGATCCAAACTAAAGCGGTTCCATTGAAGACAAATTAGAATTCTGCGCAGCGTCCTGCATTCTTCGCTGTGTGCTCATGGCGTCCAATAAGTTCGTACGACGTTCTTGGAGTCCTTATCGCGCGCTCGATGCGACCTTAAAACGTACGTGTGACGTCAGCAGCCAGAAGTGCGGCATGTATATTAACTTGGGCCAAAATGGGCATTTGTCATTGAGTCTTCACATTTTGAACAGCAAAGACGCAGGAGACTTGGAGGTGACGCACTGTCCTGATGCACGCACATCCGTGGAGTTCTCACGACGTCGTTTCTGTCTGCCTGCGCATTGCCAGTACGTCACGGCCATTCGCGAGGAGTTAGCGCAGAGTCCTGACCGCATTCTGGTCAAAACGCCGAGGTGTGGCGTTTGTTTTGTGCATTTCCAAAATGAACGTGGCAGTTTGGCGTTCAGCGAAGTCCTTGGAGTCCCTCTGAAGTCCCCAACCAGTATCAACGAGTCCTCACGCCGTCATCTGCGTTGCCATTGCATTTTACTCAAGTTTCTTGGTCGCGGTACGAACTCCATGCCTGAACTTGACAGTGTGATAGGGCCTTTAGAACTTTGGAGAAAAGCTTGAATTTCTGGTATGGGCCAGATAACATTTTTACGTCTGATGTCACACACATGACCAAACATCAATGACCCCTCCTAATATTTTGACACAATTTGTGAAAGTCAAAAATATACAATGAGGTACGGAGTAAAATGTATTAACCTGATGAATCATTGAAAGTAATAGTCAGATGTAGTTAATAAGGGGTAAAGCTTCAAAAATCAGACAAGCCCAATTTTATGTCACACAGTTACCAAAGAAAAGGCCCACTAAATGATTTTATTTTACATTTCCAGTAACACCGGAAGTGAAGATCATGTTGTTTTCTTTTAAATTGCAGTATACATGCACCTTTTCACAATTTCAGTGCAATGTCATAAAAGTTTATTGTGATCATGACTTATTGTCTCGTTGACATATAATGTACACAATAATTGCCAAATTAATATATTCACGATGTCATAAAAAGAGAAAAAAAATAATATCATCAAGACGTCCCTTTTTTTGGGGGGGGGGGATTATATTGCATTGTTCTTTGACATGTACATGTACAAAGTTTAATTCCAACTAGAATAAAGCCGATGCTATGCAAGGGAAGTGAAATATAAGCACTCTGAAAAGGCACTGGAATAATAATGATTAGGTTTTGAATTGTCAGCTGCTGCATCGATATTCTGAACAGAGTCTTTCAACTGTTTACTAAATGATAGAATAGCATTTTGTTGAAAAGAATGTCCGTGCCAAAAAAGTGACGTTGAACCATTCTTGAAGATGTGCTGTTGAAACATTATCTGAGTACTGTTTGCAGTATCTGAGTATTATTCTCAGACAACTCAAAAAACAACACATTGAAGCAATGACTTGACTTTTTGGCATAGTTTTTGAGCTACTATTTTATTTGTCCTTGGTCAATGTTTAACTTGATTAAATATCAGTGAATACCTTGATAAACTATAACGGAACAATTAAAATTAAGTTTTGATTTACTTAAAGTTATTTGCTTAAACATTTTGGCACGCTTGCCATTAAACTGGGCACGCTTGCCCCTCCTTGCCATGCTTGGCATCACTGGGCCCAAAACCTTGGCACGCTTGCCAACCATTCACTAGCCCCACCAGAATAAACGGGTGCTAGCCAAAGTGTTTTTAATTTTGTCACGTGACTCGAATATATATGCAATAATTACTTAATAAATTGGAAAGGTAGCCGATTTGTCCCACCACTCGTAGAGACGGTTGGCATGCCCATCAGTACAAATGGGTGCTTGGCATACTTTTTTACAAAGAGTAAACACAACCTGGTAAATATTTAACGTCCAAATTCAAAGTCTTACTTAAGAACTTTTTACCCAACTTATTTATTTAGTTTGAATTGAGGCACTGCCAGTTGCTCCCAGCCAATTCCTGCCATTTATAAATTCATAAAACATGGAGGGTGAAGGGGAGAAGGGGGTTTATTTTTGATGTGGCGGTCTAAAAAAACTAAGCCGAACTGGTTTTTCTTGCCCCATATGCACGTAGCACGTCTGTGCACGCGCGTGAACTTATTACATTTGCATCACCCTAGAAAAAGTACCAATTTTTAAGCCTTTGAACATCGTTTTTTGGCTTCATGTCATCAAAGGGCGGCCAGCTGCAATTAGACCAATCGATATGTTTACTTTTGTTTACTTTCCTACACCATAGCAACCATCAGCTGATAAAATAGAGTTTGGGACTCAACCGTGTGTTTGTGGAGAATAATGTATCTTATCTTTCAGTGATAAAATGAATTGTTTGCATCATCTGTGCATTGTTGTGGCTGCTAGGAATGTCTGTACTGAATCTGGGTAATAAAATTTCCCAATTTTGTCTGCATTTCATTGCACAGTCAGCACTAATTAAATGTAGTTTATCAGTGTCAGGCAGCACATTTTAGTTGATCAGTGGCTGTGCATATCTCTGTATGCTTCAGAATGTAAAGTGCGAGCATCCAATTAATTAATGAGTGGATGATGTGAACTCTCAGTGTGAGAAGTTTCAACTCTCTACGGCACACAAAATGCACGCGAAATGCATAGCCGGACAGATAGACAGACAGAGTTGAAGGCCAGGGTCATTATCAGACCCCAGACTCAAAACCGGTCTTAAATTTATTTAATTTATTCCCATTCAAAAATACCTTTTCAGTCAAACAGTCAAAAAAAGTCAAAAATTATTAATTTCCAACAACTTTGTTCAAACACCCCACTAGCTATGTTATGGTATATATGCCTCTCGCAAGTAGTCGTAAACTACTTATATGGAGATTAGGGTGCACATTGCGTGTACTGCACGAGTGGCACAGAATGCAGCTGTTCCAGTGCAGTGTGAATTTACATGTAGGACTATGAAATACACTCATTGGTAGTGTTGCACATGCCTAACTGAGGATTAGGTCAACCAATAAATTGGAATGTCAAAACAACTAAAGTTGCTGCGGACGTTCACACGTTATCATCTGGATACATAAACACACACTTTTAGAAGCTCTTTGCAGGACCTATTGACGTGCCAGAACAAACCCAGCCACACCACACTGCTGCTGCTTTTTAATACAGCACAAAAAAATATGTATTTTATACATATTCGAAGTGAACATTCAAAATTAGAGTGTTTTATCAAAATCGCAAAATCGCTTCTCAACAACACTTGGACGGGAAAACTGTCAAAATGACTGATTTGGTATGGATGATGATTGAGAGAACATGAATCATTGCCAAACCAAATGCTAAAAAGCATTTTCGCCAATGTTGGACGTCGATGTTAACTGCAAGTTTTGGGCCTCCAAGTCCTTGAGTACTTGTCTAAACTGTTTCCAGCCAAATAATAACTGGAACGGTGTGAGGAACGGTGTGAGGACCGGGAACAAGCTCGTAATTCAACGACAACAATGTGAAATGTGTCACCCAGATGTTATTGAAACAATCTAAAACTGAAGATTTCAGCAAGTAATGTCACAAAATTGAAATTGTTTTTCTGTGTCCATATTTTTTTCTGATTTCATGTATTTATTTCAGGCTGAAAAGTCAGATTTTGAATGTTCATTCCCGAATTCACGAATGGTGACAACTTGCAGCATACATTTTGTTGTCATTGTTTTTTTAATGTACATGTACATGACTTGAATATCCTTCATTTTAAGTTGATTCTGTTAGCCTAAAATATTGCGTTGTTTTAGTTAGAATTCATAAATACCTGAAACAGTTTACCCATTCCTATTGGTCGAGACCCCGGTAAAACACCACTGCGTTCTGCGTCATATCGCGCAGTACGCACCACACACACCAATCTCCATATAATCAGATTTTAGCACTATGCGGGCAAGGCTCATACCATAGACATGGAAAGAGGGGTGTTTCACAAAACATGATGAAAAATTGTTGAACAAAATTGTTGGAATTTTGTAAATTTTTGACTTTTTGACCTAAAATCAGACACCAGTGCATTACACTATGTATGTCATTTGCCTGTATGTGTCTCATGTAATCATGTGTCATTCAATTAAACCAGATAAATGTGGAAACAATTTGAATTCAGATTTGAATAATTAAATCATGTACTTGTACAAGTCCTGACACTACACTTACCTGAAAGCATAATGACACTGTTTGCAAAGAATCGAGCACCATAAGGCATGTTGAACAATAGAAAGGCATTTATATCTGCAAAAAGAAGGAACAACAAACAAATATTCAAGCAAACGGTACAAATAAATGTATTGCTCCAAACTTCTTCACATTTGTGAATTCCCCCCAAAATAGACAGATCAGAAAAGTTTGGCAACCATCAAAATTCCCCCCCCCAGGGGGGGGGGGGGGGGCGATTCTACTACCGAATAATTACCTGTAGAGTATTTCTACATATGCATTATTCCCTAGAGGGTGCTAGCCATTCACTAAGATTTATTACCCACAGTACCTTGCGGCCCGCCCGCCATACTTCCTCTTTTCTCGAGCGTAAGGTGCATAAGTGAACGCGTACATGAGAGTGGGGAGGGGGTGGGCACTCTAGGGTAAGTATTCGCTAGTAGAACTGGCCCACAGCTTGGTGGGGGGGGGGGGGGGATTCTACTACGCTCTACTTACCCGTAGAGTATTACTACATATGCAGAGTAGCACTGTATTAGGACACAAGAGTGTATGATGTGGAAAGTGGGCCGCATGGAAGCCTGAGCCCAAAGCCAACAAGATTAAACCCACTAAAGTAAACCAGAGGAATCAGCTATTACTATAATCAGGTAAGCCGTCACTGGTCGGTACAGCGGGCGCCAGTGGAGGAGGAACCAGATCCGGTTGCGCCGCTGGGGCAGTAGGGAGGACTACACACGGTTCTGCCATCAACTTGCAGCACATTCCTGACATAACAGCAGATGAAGGTGTTGGAGGATTTCCAACGTGCCCCTTGCATGATATCTGCAAGGGGTACTCCTTTGAAAAATGGCCCAAGAGGTCGCCATGCTGCGAATTTTGTAAGCATGTACTCTGTCCAGGATAGGCCAGTCTGATGATGGGAGTTGTATGGCCGTCACAACCCGGCGAGCGATTATATCATGGGTTGAGGGGCGATGCAGTAAAACCGTGGTTATAAACAGATCCTGGTGGTTACCGCGGATCAGTGCAGTCTGATGGAGGTACATATTACCACTTGAGGGTCCAGACAGGACACCAGAGGTTGTCCTCTGTGATGGAGAAGGACCATCCCAAAACCTCAATGTACAGTTGCAATTGCAGAGCGATAGCTCTGGACAATGAGAACCACAAGAACCCGATTAGTAGAAGAGAAAAAAATAATTGCCAACTTTGGTTGTAGCCAAGGGATCTACCGTACGCCGTACGGACCATTTATAGAAATGACATAATTGGCTGTCGCAAACAATTTGAGTTGACTGACGCCAACCATGGGCTGCAATGGAGGCAGCCTCTTGAGAAGGCAAAGGAATGGTAGACAAGGCGGACAAGTCATGAAAACCACGGCTGTCGGAGCCAAAATGAGGTAATCAAGGGGCCTTGCAGGGATCCTGCTCGATCTTCCCAAGTACTCAGGTTAGTAGGGAGATTCGAGGAAAAAGCGTAGGCAAATAAGTTGGTCCACGCAAAGGGGAGGGCGTTAGCATGCCACGCCCTTGGCTCCGGGGATCTTGAACAGTACACCAGGAGCTGGTGGTTGAGTAATATTGTGAACAGATCGATATGCGGACGGTTAAATTGTGATAAGATCGTCTGCATGACCAAGGTTCGGAGGGTTCATTCCATGGGGCGAATCCAGTCCCGGGAGAGTGCATCGTCTGTGGTGTTTTCCGTGCCCACCAGATGGATCTCTCTGAGACAGATGGCATGCTGGCGACACCGATGCCGTAAATGCCACATTGTGTTGGACAACAGTCACCGCAGGTGACAACAGATTGACCCTGCACCATGCTGTAAACGCGGTGAAGGGTGATAAGACTGCTGTCATTTTGATAAAATTGATGTGGAGGGTGGCCTTTGCTGAAGTGCAGAGCCCAACCATTTGGTGAGATTCCATCCGCATGCCCCAACCCAGCTGAGACGTATCTGTCGTGATCATCATGGTCGGATGAATGGGCTGGAAAGACCCTGACTGATCTAGTCCAGTTGGATCCGCCACCGGGGATGCGGCCGGGTATTCTGTGAATACGGTATCACGTGGGAAACAGGATGGAACCATGTCAAAATAAGAAAAAATAATAATACCGGTGCTTATATAGCACATTTGCAAATTAATGATCAATGCGCTTTACAAACAAAATTAGAGTTGATGAATTTTATGGCTCGATGAATGGACTGCAAGGGTTGGATCGAATGTACATTGGGTTCTTTTAGTGAAATGTTCTGACTAGGCTGCAAGAATCGCCTTGGGTGGTGTTTACCCCCTCTTCTGCCTCTTCTTGTGGGTTGCTTTGATTGCAAACCAAGGGCCTTTATTTTGTGCCATACCTCAGTGGGCAGTCTCACTTCCATTGGAACTCTCAGCTGGAGCAATTGTAATCTTGTTAGGCTCATTGTTGAATGGCTCACCAGGGCTTTGTTGCAAACAATGGAACCAGATGATAAAGACTGGTGGAATGTGTTAATCATTTGCAGCCATCCGAAAAGTAACTGGCGTAATTATTGTTGAAAAACATACTTGGTTGAAAGATAGTAAGGGGACTAAACTCCCTGTGAAATTATTCTTTCTGGCAAGCTGTCATTTTGAAGTAATCAACGAAAGAAGGCCTTTCCAATGGTGCGTCTTAAGACGCGCCGTAGGAAAATTTAAATTAGTAGTTCGTTTTGTTATTCGGCGAAACGTGCGCAAGCATTGGCATGACGCACACGCGGGCGTGGTTGCTATAATTCGTCGGATCAGTGTGCGACATCGCGTATAGCTACAATCAGCTCAGTGAGAACGTGTCTCGGACGCTGAATTCAGGCCCAATTCAAAACATGATTCAGCAACTTATGATTTGAAATTGAGATCCTAGAATGCTGTTTTTCTCGGAATATACAGCTGAAGCTGAGCTGAAACTTCATCAGGTTAGTTGTTTAGTATCCCTCATTAGATTTTGAACACTTTTGTTGCTTCAAACGAACAAAATGCACAAATTACAAATGATGGACTATATCTTTATGTACTGAGAACAATGCAAACAATAGGACTGTTGCCCAGAGAAAGCCACGGATGGCTTGTGATGTAAAACTGCACAGTCAACTTGCCATCATTCCCAGCAAACTGGATCGAAAATCCAAAATTACTGCATTACTTGACAACCAGGATCAGCCGAAATGTTCCAGCGGTGTCTATGGATGATATCCAGTACTTTGAAGGAAAATCACAAATCCACAAGCACTATTTCCACCAGAAATCCAGAAAGTGTAGGAGCAAAAGAAATGGTGTGTGCTGCCCATTCAAGCGCACTACAAGCGCCCCAGAAGGGGACCAGAAAATAGAGTTGAAGCAGGCGCATGTACAGGCAGCTTAGCGGACCAAGTGCAAGAGGTTCGCCAGTAGGCCAAGGGGGAGGCACATTGATAAACATTGGCGGAGAGCCCCTGCGTCGGGTAAGCCCATAGAACTGTATTAAATTACTAACTCCACGTACAAAGTAACGCCTGATGGGCGCATCCATGTTTGTGCACACACCTATGGAAAACTCGAAATTTTGTACGGCTTTTGTACGGCTATTTGCATATCTGCATTTGTATTCCATACCAGTGCGTCATCGAAGCTGATACGCCCGAAACCAAAACATACGATCAGCAAAATGAGCGGGTTTTTTTTTTTGCTCTACGCAAACAGCGCAACGTGTGGGCGTCCCTCCGCTGTAGATGCTTTTCGCTGTGACGTTTTTTAACCGTCATGACGTGCTTTAGTTGTTTGCGTATCTTCTACTTGCGCGTTGCATGTAGAGTACACTTTTAAAAATTCAATCCATCTATTTTGAAAGTGTTCTTCAAACACGCACATAAATTCAAATTGTCTGTGCCCGGAGCGGCTTCAAAGCGTCTTCGCGCAAGAATGAGGAGTTAGCGCTCTAGTAATTTAATATAGCTCTATGGGTAAGCCGTGTCCCATTGTACATGTAGATCGAGGACGACACCGAAAAAAGTGGGCCGTTGGGACGGGATTTGGACTTATCGATGGAAAATCCAGGACCTTTGGAGATTGAGCAGGTCTGACGGACTGCGTAAGCCGTTAATGCCCGCTATTTGTCGATGATAAATCTGTCGTTGAGGTTTATTATTATCTATAAACCTTGACGATGGAGGGCACTGGCCAGTGTCTTCACAATTCTGGTGAAGACCCCGAGTCTGGCAGATGAGTGTGGCAGGTGAGAGTGTTTGACAAGGGGGCACTCGTGAACTCCAGGCAGTAGCCGAGTGAGACGGTGTCGAGTACCCACCAGACTGAAGTGATTTGGTCCCAGTACCCGTTCGAAATGGGTCAAACGGGTTCTCACAGGTCCCGTGAGGGGGGTTGGGGACGTTGTTGTCTGTGGGCATATTCACTTCTGCCAGCCGAACTGTGGCTGAAAGGCGGTGGTAGAGGCTGCTGAAGGACAGATGGTGGCCCGTGAATTTGCAGGGTGACGAGCAGTGGAATGAAAACCACTGCTTGACGGCTTTGGAAGAGGGGAAGACAGTTTTGGACGAACCTTCATCAAAGTGATCTTAGCAGAAGCAGTCTGACAAAAAGCCGGCAAAGAGGTCTCGCCCTTGGAAGGAAGGGACTCGAGACATTTGCGAGTTCCATCAGAGGGTAGAAATACGGCATCAAGAATGGCTGCCCGTCGTGCCTCTGATGCCGTGACAGCAAACTCGAGTAAGTTTACTGAGAACTGCCGAGAACAAACCTGATCAACAGGAACCCCAGGGATAGGATAGAGGGTAACTAGTGAGTCAAGAGCAGTTAGTCGTTTTAACGATCTCGGCTGTGTAGTAGGAGTGGGGCTCACAGAACCCCAATACGTGCACCATGTCTCCTACTAGGTGATAAAGCGTGGTCATGGAGGCTGGCATAGTTGTGTCCTCTTGTTCGGCCAAACGAGGTGACAGAGGAGAGGAAACGTCCTGGGCAAGGGATTCAGACGGCGAGTCTGTAGGAGTGCCGAGAAAACTATGGGCAAACACCAACACGACTGGTGCGTTGGGAGGACGGAAGAAATTTGTGTGGGGTATGTTAGGGTTTGTTTCTGGCCGGGGCTGAGAAGGAGACAACGAGCCTGGATCAGCCACAGCAGTCTGCTTGGAGAAGGCTGCCAAGGTTTCTGACTTGTATATTGGTCAATACACTGCTGTGAGATCACAAAACTGCCAGTAAAAATAACGTGTTCATTTTGTAGGCAAAAGCACCCAAAATTCGGTGCAGCTTTGCTAACAGCGAAATATCACGCTGTCTGGTCAGTAAGTTGTGGTGTGGCAGTTAACAACTTTCTGTCAATGCGAAGTCTCGCACGTTGATCAATATACACCAATGTGAAAATAAAACTGCTGGTTAAAAAACGGTGTTCGTTTTGAAGGTGAAAGCACCAAACACGTTCGGTGCAGCTTGAGGGATTTGATAAGTAGCAAAATATCATGCTGATGGGTCGGTAACTTAGTAGTGTAGGTAAGGGGTGAGCGGCTTGCAACTAGTGCGATGCTCGTCCCATGCAAAGTCTCACTCGTTTGACACAGCAACACAGCTGTGAGACAAGAAAAGCTGCTGGTTAAATAATAGCGAAATCCCGGTTATGACGAACGAGCGTATATAGTGAGTAGCCGGCAGCCTGTGAAAGGCCTCACTTGCTCCGTACGACGTGAGCTACTTGCAGCCTGTGCGAAACCTCACGTAAATAGTGGTCGTGTAAATAAGCTTAGCAATGCAACGTACAGCCTGTGCGAAGCCTCACTAGTTTGGTATGGCGTGAAATACTTGCAACCTGTGTGAAGCCTCATGGACACGGTCTCGTAAGGACCATGTAACAGGAGTGAGGAACCGGCAATCTGTGCTGTGCGAGAACTCACTCCCGAAAGGTAAACGTAACAACCAAGAAATATCACCAAAAAACGACCAAAAAGTTACAAAAACTCACTGAACTTGTAAGAACAACAACAGATAACTACTGGTACTTGAATAAAAATCATGAACTTAGCTATTTTGAATGGTTGAGGAAAGACTTACAGTAATTTTCGGAATATAAGCCGCGGCTTATACGTTGAATTTGTCCATGAAAATGTTTACTGCGGCTTATACACAGGGCGGCTTATACGCCGAGACTTGAAGAATAAAAATGATATTCAAATGTATTTTTAATGTACTGGTATAAGAAAAGATCTGTTGCTGAAATGAATCATCAATTAAAAAAGTCATTAACAAGCCGGCAAAAGCACGTCCCACGAAAATGTACCGAACGGTAAAAAGTACGGCGAGTGAAAGCTGTCTCTTCAACCATGCTTCGACATCGGCCGTACGTGATACAAGTGCTGCATGCATGCTGCATGCATTCCCCATGGACCACACCATTTGTGGTAATAAAGTTGTGTACTTTCTTGGGAACAATAATTACCAATATTTCCGCCGTTTAAAAAAAGAAAAAAAAAAATAATTCTTTTTATGGAGTTCGAAACATTTCTTTATTCGATAATCAGTTGTTCAATGTCACAATTTAATTTGTTTTCCTGAAGTGTATTCAAGAAACAATGTAAAACTCAAAACAGGGGCTAAATCACGCTTAACAAAATTAATGGATTCGTCCATAAAAATTTCAGCATCGTGGTTACTGTTTTCGAAGAAAGTTACGATCGAAACTTGAATTTTTGATGAAACTACTCGTTAGTAATCACAACAATTTGATACGTTTTGTTGTAAAAACGGGACAAAACAAATCAGCGTCTGTTGCCACAAAGCAGGATTTGTAGCGCTCCAGTCAGACGACACACGGTGGGTTGCATACTCTCTCAAGTGCTGCGGGAAAATGTTATCATTCGTCGGCGCAGGCTGTCGGGCCATGCACTAACGTTTAGGGCCGGGGACCGGATGGGTCAGCCAGCAGCAATTCCCTTTTTTATTTCTCATCATCAATTTCCATATTTGTTTGTAAGAGTATCGACTGTAAATGATTTGATATAACTTTGTGGCCCTTTTTTATAGGTTTCATAGTGTAACTGGAACTGGTTCAGAGCATTTTGACAAGAATTTGGAGGCCTTACAAAATTGAAATCGCTGCGGTCGGTGCGGCTTATACACTGGTGCGGCTTATACGCCGACTTCAAATCTTAATTTGCAGATTTTTGCGTGCTACGGCTTATACTCCGTGCGGCTTATATTCCGAAAATTACGGTAGAATTAGCAAACAAAGAGCTCCGTAAATATATGTCTGTCACGTAGCACTGCTAAGAGAAAAGAGGAAGTATGGTTCTGTAGATGCATTAAAATGGACGATTGATAAATGGACAAGCAACAAAATATTAAGGCAAAGGGTTATCAATAGTTCTTGATAATCACTTACTTTTGACCACTATTGTTGCTCCATTTCCAGCTCCATATACAGTTGCCACAAAACTGCTTTCATTATAGCTGCAACCCCAAAAAAGAAGATAAAAGTTCAAATGAACATCAATTTTACATTTATAGGTGACTTAGTCATAAGGCAAAAAAACCTGTTGTGTTTCCGGTAACATCGCAAAACAAAAAAAAGGGTCGGTTGGGTTGGTCGGCATTTTTTTTTTTTTAATGTGTTAATGGTATGTAGCTGTGCATCAATGCAAGTATGTATTTTCATGTTAATATAAAGATAGATAATGTCCTAAGAACAACTTTTTATACCTGTATCAGGGCTCAAATTAGCGGGAGCAAGTGATTACAATGCGCCAGTAATCTCCAAAATGTTCATGTTAAGCTCTGATGTCAAGAGACTGCTCGTTTCACAATGCAGACATTTCTGACGTATTTCATTTGCATCACACAGGCTATCGAAAGTGACAGACAAAAACTTGCCTTAATTAATATAGAAATTTAGTTAAAGCTATAGTCCATCATTTGCAGCCATCCGAAAAGTAATTGGCATAATTTTTGTTGAAAAACATACTTGGTTGAAAGATAGTAAGGGGATTAAACTCCCTGTGAAATTATTCTTTCTGGCAAGCTGTCATTTTGAAGTAATAAACAAAAGAAGGCCTTTCCAGCGGTGCGTCTTAAGACGCACCATAGGAAATTTAAATTAGTAGTTCTTTTTGTTTTTCGGCGAAGCGCGCGCAAGCATTTGCACGACGCACACGCGCATGCAGTTGCTATAATTTGACGGATCAGTGCGTGACATCGCGTATAGCTGCAATTCAAAACAATTCAAAACATGATTCAGCAACTTTTGATTTGAAATTGAGATCCTAGAATGCTGTTTTTCTCGGAATATACAGCTGAAGCTGAAGCTGAGCTGAACACTTTTGTTGCTTCAAACGAACAAAATGCACAAATTACAAATGATGGACTATATCTTTAAGGTTGATGATTCTTAAGAAAAACGGAGAAGTTCAGTCTTGCACACCAACATTCTCAACGTTACTCACAACGGCCGCTGGTTAACTCCAGCCATATTGCTGATACCAGCGCTGAATTTTGTTAATTTGATGTACTTTTTATAGCTAAGGGGTGTGGAATTTACCCATGGGTAATATGACTACATTGCGCTACTACCGAACCCGGACAGTAGGAATTTTGGTCAATTTAATGTGCTCTGATAAGGGATGTTAAAATTACCCATTGGTAACATTGGGAATGATGGTTACACATGCATGTTACTTTGAAGCTTTCTCATAGAATCTGAGGGATAATATTTTTGATAATTGAACACCCCTGTTAAAAGCTAAAATGTTGGCCTAAAATACTGTAATTCATGCAAAATTTCATTTTTTTAAATCAGGTTAAGTGAGTGCGCAAATGTTGCCTATGACAAAATTTATGTTGGCACCTTGCTTTCTTCTGTTGTAAAGCTACAGACTTGCATTGTCAATCACCTCAATGTATTATTTTGCTTACTCTTTTCATCCGTTAAACTGTTTGTAGCCTTGAAAATATTGTCAGTCACAGACTGAAGATTTTTTACTTTGCCCTACTTTGAGCAATGTAGAAATGCGGCTAACTAGCTATGAATATTATTCCCACTTGCCCGTGTTCAGTAGAAGCGCAATGTGGGAATATTGGCAGTCGGTAATTTCTACAGCCCGTATCTATTGCAAATTACATCACAATTGCCCGTAATTCCCACTTTACCCAGGTTCAGTAGTAGGGTAATTCCATGGTTTGATGGATATGGCTAAGAACAAAAAAGGTTATATTTTTTAACCCAGTTTCACATTTATATTACAGATTATACATTCAAGTATGAGAAATTAACAAAGGAAACCAAATTTTATCAAGCATTTTTTGAGAAATCGTATCGTAAAGTGAACAATATTTTTTACAACAAAGAACTAAAAAAAAATTGGTAAAGTCTAAACATTGATTGCTATTAAGGCAATTAGAGATATTTCAATCATAACCTTATTTCTAGCATGTATGATAGTCTTGATCTCTAAAACATATGTCAATTCACAGCCGTCATCCATTTTTAGATGTCAAAAAGTAGCATTTTACACCTTTTTTTGGTCCATGTAACGTGAGTAACCGAAAAGATTTAAAAAAAAATTCTCACCAACATTTCTAATGAATTAAAGTTTGGTATTTAGGATTATCATTCTTTGCATGAACATAGACATAAATATAAGTACATTGTTGACACTAATACACACATTTAAAAATAAAAGGCAACTAAATTTGGTAACGTGAGTAACAAAAAATGTAACGTGAGTAACAAAGTTTATTATCCCAAGTCACTTAAACTATACCCAAACTGACTTTTGCTTGATGATGTTGATTTTGGTGATAACTGTTCATCTTAAACCAAAGAACCTCAAGCATTAAAAATACTTTTAAGCATATTTTATCCTGTTTATAGTGCGAAATGGTCTTTGAGACAGCATAATTTTTAAATTGAAACTAATTACAGTATTTTATCAAGTGTTTATGATGTTTAATGGAATAAGGAAGACACCTGTATGTCCCTACATTGAAATTAAAATGTTTATTTGGAACAGAAGCAAAATTTGCATTACATGTAGGCACTTGACACTAAGCTACCAGTACATTGGTATGCCCTGGATTCCCTGGAACCCACTCTCCACATCATGGTCTCTGATAGTGTGGCCTTCCCATGGACCCAATATTCTGTGCTATAGTGGCATTTATATAACCGACATACAGATCCTTGTCATTTGATTGGTGGAACTCACATCACGTGGCATTCGTTATTGCTCCCATTCATGCCGCGGCTCAAAAAGTACTATCCGCCCATGGGGAATGGGAAATACTATTCAACAGTTAGGATCATGACGCGGTATTTGTGTGCAAATGCATGTTGGTGAGCGCGTTCAGCGTTGCGCGTAGCGTGTTACAAAGAGCCAGCGCTACAGCGTTGGGTTCAAACATTTTTCGTGAAGGGGTGGTTTGGAAGAGAGAAATACATTTTCCTCCAATTTTGTATTGAAAAAAAGTTCAAATATATAAAATGACAAGGATCTATATGTCAGTTATATAAAACAAATATTGAGTGGCTTTAAATTGTGAAATGGGAGGAATATTATCGCTCGGTAAAATCTGGACTTTTCCAGTTCACTCGGCTTCGCCTCGTGAAATGGAAAAGTCCAGATTTTACCTTGCGATAATATTCCTCCCATTCCACGCTGAGCCACTCAATATTTGGATAACATTAAGTTTTAGAAGACTCTCAGAACATGAGAGGTTTGTTCTGATGGCTCAGCATTAGTTAAAAAAAAAAATTACAGCTGGACTTAAGAGGAAACATCACATTCCTGATAGGGGATCAGTATGCACTGTAATAGTATCAGAATTATGTCAGATGAAAACCTTTATCTTGGAGTACTTGCCATTGGAGATCCAAAATGCAAATTTTAGTCAGAGTTTTTAGTAGTTCTGATGCCTATTGGGTAGAAAAATACTAATTATGATAATTTAGTCCCCAAAAAATCATGCCATAAAATGCTGAGATGGGTCGGACAATGTGGGTGCCAATGAGGAATTCAACGTGATGAAGATAAAATGACCATGTTTCAACATGAGTGATAATATTTACCAACATAAATTGCACATATCATCATTAATTAACGAATGCCACGTGACCTTCAATCCTGCAATCAAATGACAAGGATTTACTTGGGTGTTACATTAATCGAACTATTGCACGACCTACATCATAACCGTGCATTTTTGGTTCCATTCACCGTGCATTTATGTCCCATCCCTTTTGATCTATTGCACGCCGCACGCACTCTAAGACGTACCAAAGTGTGACGTCATTTAGAACTGGGAAGTGAAGTGCAAACGAATGGAGTACGCGGGCTGTTGGTTTATGGCCGAATCACCCGCTTAAATGTCTTTTACACACAAAATTGTTCTCATAATTCTCATGTACATGTACTTCATTTACCTGTCTCTAATAATAGACATAATTTCCAGCGCCTTGAGTACCTAATTGTTGGTACATACGTGTGCTATATAAGACTTCTGTATTATTATTATTTACTTGGGTACTCTATACGATTGTTGCGCTATTTAGACCATATCATGCATTATAGCAGTACAAAACTTGCCTTTGAAGTTAATGCAGTTGCCTTGATGATTTGCTTGCATTGTTTTAAGAACTTACAATGTAAATTGTCATCATTGTCAATGATTTGACTTTTAAACCTTTGTTAGCCTTGAACAAGCTGAAAAAAGTAGTGGATATGATTCAATTTTGTGAGTTTTGTTTGTTCTTAAAGTTTTATCCAATCGAATGACAAAGATCTACTTGGATGTTATATAAAACAAATAATGAATGTTTTGCATTCGTGCAATGGTGAGAATATTTTCATTCGTTGAAAGAGGGAATGTTCCATTCAACTTGGTTTCGCCTCGTTGAATGGTACATTCAATCTTTCAACTCATGAAAATATTATCATATATCACATATCATACTTATCAATGTCTGAGCTAGATCAGAAACAAATCCAGGTAGAACTAGAGCTGTATGTCTGTTTGCGAACAGAACACAGGGCTTTTTCGCATTTTACAAATATTTGTTTCGTTTGTCCTTTTGCAGTCACTTTCAGAGTGCTTTATGCAGTTAAAGGTTGTTCAAAACGCTTAGAATAATTCCTAAAGTATAATTTTATCAAATGATGTCACTTGCCCTGCAATGACGTCATCCTTAAGACCCTTCTCAATGCACATTTTGTCATTGTGATTTTGGTTTGAACCAAGTTTAATGTCAATCCGGTGAAAGAAAGTGTGCAATTTGTGGAAGCACAATAAAATTTAAAATATCTTAAAATTATAAAAACCAAACGATGACGTCATCGTGACGTCACTTTAAACTTTGTATACTAGTACCATTATTTACCTACCCATTAAGTTTCATGACAGTCGGACCTTTCCTTATATGTGTATTTTGAAAATCGCATTTTTATGACGTCATAAT